CTTGGTTTCTTCATCTATGGCATCTCTCCATTTGGCATTTTAGGCAGCCTCTTCATAAGTTAAAGGCTCACTATCCACCAACAAACAAAAGCGAGTCAAATCATATAAATCTTTTCTTATCGCTTTCGTATTTTCATACAACTCACGAAATTTTTTAATTTTCTTAGGCACTTCACTTGAAGAACTTGAACTTGACTCATCTTCTTCTTGAACTTGTACTGCAGGTGTTGAAAGTGATGTGATAGGCTGCTCTGCAACTTCTTCATCATCATCTTCATCAAAGAAAGGACTAAAAGAGTAATCTTGCTCTTTAGTTTTCCATTCCCAAGCATTATCTTCATCAAACTCAACATCTCTGCTTATGGCGATCTTGCCATTTCTTGGGTTATATAATTTATAACCTTTAGAACTTTTATCATAGCCAATGAAAACATACCTCTCACTTTTATCATCAAGCTTGGACCTCTTCTCATCCGGCACATGTGCATAGGTAATGCTCCCAAAAACTCGAAAATGAGCAACTTTTGGCTTGAAACCACTCCAAGCCTCTTGAGGTATTTTGTCACGAATATTTTAGTGTGACACCGATTTGACAAATATACTGCACACACAACTGCTTTAGTCCAAAACTCCTTTGGCATATTTTTGCTCTTCACACCATGTTGATAATAGTCTGGTTCTCCACGGCGCCATTTTGTTGTGGTGATCTTGGAACAGTCAAGAAATGATGAATTCCACTATTTTCACAAAGAACCTTGAATTCATTTGAAGTGAATTCTCCACCATTATCAGACCGCAATGACTTAACTTGATAGCCACTTTGTTTCTACACGATACTCTTGAATTTTTTGAAAGTATCAAACACCTCAGATTTCACCTTCAAAAAATACACCCAAGTTTTTCTAGAAAAATCATCAATAAAAAGTAAAAAATAATTACTTTTACCAAGTGAAGATGGCTTGATTAGTTCGCACACATCCATGTGAATTAACTCCAATGGCCATCGGGCTCTAGTCAAAGACTCTTTAGGAAAGCTTTTTTTTGCTTGCTTTCCAAAGAGACAACCTTCGTAAAGTTGGCTCGGATGATTAATAGTTGGCAATCCATTCACCATGCTTTCTTTCTTCATCAACCTTAGACTATCAAAATTCACATGACCAAATCTCATATGCCAAAGCCAAGATGAATCTTTGGTACATGAAAGCAAACACCTTGGAACATCACATTGAATGTTCAAAACAAACATTTCATTATTAGCCATAGGAACTTTGGCTAACAACTCCCATTTTCATCTTTCAAGAATAATTTTTTATCTTTCAAATGAATATCATAATTTTTCTCCAAAAGCTGCCCCAAACATAAAATATTACTTTTTATCTCCGGTACATACAAAATATTAGAAATTAATTGGTGACTACCATCTTTCAAGTGAATTAAAATCGTACATTTTCCTTTGATTTTTACCTGCGAAGAGTCTCCAAAAGTGATGTTGCCACCATTTAATTCTTCAAGCTCCACAAATAAATTTGTCTTTCCTCAAATATGGCTACTTGCACCGGAGTCAAGGTACCATTGATTTCTCTCTACACTTTCTTCTCTTTTACAAGCGAGAACTAAATTACCATCTCCATCTTCATTTTTGCTCTCCGTGAAATTATTTTTTTCCTCCATATTATTTTTACATTTCCGGGAAAAATAACCAAATTTATGACAAGTATAACATTCAATATTAGACTTATCATACATTCCTTGATTTTGCCTCCATCCTCTACTTCTTCCACGACCTCTTCCTTGATTAGAGTCTTGGCTCCTATTTTCATTATATGGTGGTTGACTACCACCTCTTCTTTTTCCACCACGACCATGTCCACGTCCACGACCTCTTTGTTGTGAGCCACGCCTTTCATCTTTCTCCTTGAAAGAAAGTTTTGCTTGCAACTCTTGTTCAACGGATTCTTCTTTCGATTTCTTCAACTTTTCTTCATGTGCTTGCAAAGAACTCGTGAGTTCTTCAGTGGCCATGGTATCCAAATCTTTGTACTCTTCAATAGCCACAACAATATAATTAAATTTTGAATCAAGGGATCACAGTATTTTGCAACGACCCTATCATCACTTAAGTCTTCACCATATCTCTTCATTTGATTGACGATAGCCAAAACTCTTGAAATGTAACCCGAAACGGATTCGGATTCCTTCATATGCAATGATTCAACTCTCCTATTAAGGTTTGGAGACGAACTCTTTTCACTTTATCCAAACCTTTAAAGGAAGTTTGAAGAATCTTCCATGCTTGCTTTCAGGTGGTTGCATTTGCAACCTTTTCAAACATGTTATCATCTAAAATTTGATGGATGAGAGTGAGCGCCTTTTGATCTTTCTTTTTAAAGGAATCATCATCTTCCACTCCACCTCCGACTTTAACCAGTTCCCAAACATCATAGGCATCAAGCAAGGCCTTCATCCAAATACACCAATTTTCATAGTTCTTTTTTGTGAGCATAGGAACTTGAAATGGAGTTCCATTACTATTTGTCATTTTCTCTTCAAGTTTGGTTGTCTCTCAAACACACCGACTCTGATACCACAATGTTAGAAAATTTGGGAGAGTAAGACAACACAAAAGAACAGTCAAAACTCACAAAGAAGAGAGTGGAGGAAAGGATGATTTCTATTCAACTTGGCTTGCTCCAAATGGCTAGGAATGCATGGCTATTTATAGGAGAAATCTTTCATGTATCTAGCCTACACCACATGTAAACATATTAACTAAGTCCACACCTCACATCTTTCAAGGTACATGGATGACACTACTAGACATTGTACCTTTCATCGACTTCCCCAGACCAGAACTGAAAGGACATACCAGCCCCCGAAGGATTATTGGGCATTCCTTCATGTCGGGAGGAGGTAGTGGTTGGAGGAGAAGATAAGGACAACTTTCTTTCTTCCATTCCACTCTTGCTCCAATCCCAATAGGATAAATAGAGCTAGCACTTGCTATAAGGGCTTCTGACTCGCCTGTAACTGGCTGCAAGGTTTGCTTAAGGCTAGGCGTATAGATAGGTTTCTCGATCTCGAGATTAATTTAATGTCAATGTGTTCATACTCTAATACATGTACTAATTTAATATTCTAGTTCATGGACTAATATAAACAAATGTAAACAAATGAAAACAAGTTTATATATTGTTCACATTTCAACAATGACAACTCATCAAAATCATATCTAAAGGCGGTAATTTATTCCTACTAAAATCCTAACTTAACCATTGTTAAATCCTCTAAATTTTCACTCTTCTCGCTCTTCGGAACAACAAAATATTTCATTGTTGCTGGTGTTTCCTTCCTCATATATCTCAATTTCTCTCGTGTTATTCATGTTTCTTTATTAAGTTTTCTCATCAACCCACATCGAGAGAATACACCTTGAATGCAAAGCTCTAAGAGCTAGTTCCAACCGTACATGCTGCATTCTTGCTTTTTATTACTTTGACTTTGTCCTCCAAACAATCTAAGAATTTGAAAATGGGCAAGATTTATGACAAAGGTTAATGATTCCATGAGAAAAGTTTAAACTAAGTTCTATAAAAAACTCTCTCTCTCTCTCTCTCTCTCTCGTTTTTTTTTTTTTGATTCGAGTTTTAAACCTTGTTATCATGCTGGAAAACAATGGTTTGGGTTGGTTTTGGTGGCTAATGGAAAGCCAATAACTTCTGCACTTTTTTTGTTGCAAGAATATAGGAAGAAACTAACAAAGAAATTGACAGATGTTAAGTTGGATTTGAACATTAATAAATTACAACATTTAGATATGATTTGAAGAGTTGTCACACTATTAAACAACCATTGAGTATTACTTGAGCAAAAGTAATTTTATAGTGCTTTTTTTCCCGGTTGGCTGCCGATTACAAGTTAATTTTATAGCTAAATTTATTTTCTTTTTATATTTTTATTGAATTTAAAATTTATTAATATTTTTAATACGTTATCTTGTAGAGCGAATTAGATCAATATTGTTCTTTTACTTATTAAATTTAAAATATAATGAGCCACGTTAGGAAACAGAATAACAAACATAAATAGATAGAAAACAGGGTATTCCAAATGAAAGCTTGGATTTTCATAGTATTATCACCGCTAATGAGAAATTTAAGCTGAGTTAACTTCTTGTTGTGTAACACCATTAGTGACATGAAATAGCGTAAACAACGTATCTCTAATAAAACAACGTACCAACAAGGATTATGGTGGAGTGGTAAGTACTCTTATATCCTTAACTAGAGGTCTTGGATTCGAGTCCCTAGGTATGGAGTCGCCTTTGTTAGGGAACGCTTTACCCCCATGTGAGACTTTCCGGTGCGAATCTGGATTATGTCGTATCCCAATATGGGTACGGATACCGAGTGGAAAACCAAAAAGCTGGATAGAAGGTTTTTGCTTGAACTAAAACTAAAGCTTGTAAGGTTTATTCAGTTTTGTAATCAGGCTAAATGGATGACAAGCAGCAGAAAGACATCAAAATTAGAGATTCTTTTCTGTGGATAAACTACACATCTGTTCCGTCTTATATGACATGTTACAACATGTTTGGGCATTATTTTATCAATTTGATTTTTCTGTGTACTAACAATATATAATGTTTACACTTATGTTAAGGAGATCAACAACATATACTATCTATGGTTATCCTAATTTGACAACACAAACATGCAGTATATAATATGGTACAATATGTTAAAAATAATGTATCTTTATTTTGCACTATTACTGTACATAAGTTAAGTTCAATATTCTATTATAACTTTACAATTTTGAAGAATTCTATTTTATCTAACTGTTCAACTTTTAAAAGTTAATAACTTCCCAGGTATTATTTTAATATTTCTTTCACTATCATAAGTCAAATTAATTTGTTTTAGATTCTTTATCCAATCCAACTTGGAAAGAAAAATGTGTGTCATATATATGTCATTTTTAGTGTTGAAAAACTTGTGGGCATGCAGATGAACTTGCAGTTGAGAGAAGCCATAGCAACCACTCATTAGAAATACAACAAAATCTAGCAGCCAAATCCATTCTCACCCTTAGCTTTTCCACCACCAAACCTATAGATCAAAAAGAGAATTAAATTCCAACAGAACAAAATGCATATTGTTCTGTCACAATTCTTCCTCCACCAACTAAGCCTCTCTTTTCTTCCTCTTATTCTTCATTCCATGGCCAAGAACCTACTTGAATAATTGCTTCACTTTGTCTCTTCACTGTTTTTTTTTCTTTTTCAAAATTTTCTTCCATTTAAGCCATGACTTCTTCTTACAATTTATCTAGTATTAGAAACACTACAAAATCAGAAGCCATGTTAGTAGCTCAAAAATCTTATCTTTTCTATCCAAGACAAAGGCTTTGTGTATTTTCCAATGAAACCCAATTTCCCAAGAAAGATTTTCTTGTACTGAAGCCCCAAATTAGTTCTGGCTTTTCATTTTTGAGACTGAAAAATACCAGCTTTAGACACCCTTTTGCTGCCTTATCATCTTTTGCTGAAGCAGATGGTGATAAAGGTGAGAACTTTGAAGTAAAAACCGACCAAGAACATGCCAATTCTTCTTCTGAGGAAGATGATGAATTGCCTGGAATGGCACAAGCTTTTCACATATCTTCAAGCACAGCTTCTGCTATATCAATATGCATTGCACTAGCTGCACTGATTTTGCCATTTTTCATGAAATCTTTGGGTCAAGGATTGGCCTTGAAATACAAGATGTTGTCTTATGCAACAATCTTGTTTGGTTTTTACATGGCTTGGAATATTGGAGCAAATGATGTGGCAAATGCAATGGGAACATCAGTTGGTTCAGGGGCATTGAGTCTGAGGCAAGCAGTGATCACAGCAGGGATTCTTGAGTTTGCAGGGGCACTCTTAATGGGAACACATGTTACTAATACAATGCAGAAGGGTATTCTTATGGCTAATGTTTTCCAAGGAAAGGATACTTTACTCTTTGCTGGTCTGCTTTCTTCTTTGGCTGCTGCTGGAACATGGTTGCAGGTGCATTTACTTGCTACCATTCCCTTTTTATTCCACAACTTATCCATAGTTCAAAATGTTAACATAACTTGCCTATTGTACAAGTAGTGGTTGAAAACTAGCTCCATATATGACGAGAGGGGGGTATTCAGATGGTCAACATCTCCCACCTACAAGCCAGGGTCGTGGTTTCGAGTCACCAAAGGAACAATAGTTCCAACAAAGGGGAGTCTAAGGGGAGGGGCTAATAAAATTACCTTTACTTTTCATTTTCAAAAACTAGCTCCAGATATAAAATGTCGGACATTTTAGGATGAAGGTATTAAATTATTACACCGATGATGCATTGAATATTCACGTCAATGTATAGTAGGTTACTTAAAATTTATTACAGATTATCGATGCATGAACTTAAATTGAGTTACTTAAATTACTCTTTCGGCGACAGGATTGTGTATATATTTTATATCGTCAGTACATGGAACTTAAATTGAGAATGGAATAAGTGACATAAGTGCAGCCTAGTAATTAGTGAAGTCAGAGAAGTCCCCGGAGATCAGGATTATAACCGAGTAGAGATTCAAAAATACTAGGTGATTTCTTTTCATTTGCCTCGGCCTTGATGATAGAATTATCCGAAACCTGTGCTGGTGGGGTTAATTGAAGTGTGCGCAAACTGCTGTAAACACCACTGTTATTAAAACTAAAAACAGAATGAGTGATATGAATTGGAAGAAATGGAGTAACAATTTAATCAATTTAGCTTGTGAGAGATTCTAGGAATTTTGGATGTTCCTGATTTCTACAAGGTAATCCTATACTAGGTTTCTGTTTCTGAATTTTTCAATGAGACAAAAGGAGTTAAGAACATTCAAAACCCACTGAAATACCTGACCTATAGAAGCCGTCTTGAGTTTCTTGTAATTGAACAAATCTAAAGAACAACTTAGGCCAGCAGTTGTTTAGCCGTTGCTCCAATAGTAAACTAAAGAAACATTGTCAAGAATATTACTCCCCTGGAATAATCTGCATATATTATAACTAGGAACACACTTAATATATGTGCTTGACATAACTTTATTTTATATTCTAAGGAGAATGGCACAAGTAATTACTTAACAAAGTCTTGTGTTTTGACTATCAATCTAGGTTATTAGCCTAAACTGACAAATAGTAAACGACATTTCAAGCCATGCCAATTATTTTGTAGATCAATGAACTTAGTAAAAACTAAAAGTCATGTAAACTGTCTTGGATTGATAAATTGCACATCATAGAAGCCACATTCTGAGAAGCTATTGAAATGATAAATTCTTGGTAGTACACAAATGGAACTTCAGTTCAAACTGCATCGGAATACATAGACTACCCTAACAATAAATTGCTCGGCGGAATAACTTTTCAGGCTCTAATTGCTAAAAATGGCTAATAAGTCTTAGCTAGGACCTCTGCCTATACTTTACATTTCGTTCGGATGAATCTCCGCTATATCACTCTGCATCTATCTGATCACGCATTTGACAGATGAAGCACTGCTGCCCATTTAGCAAATCACCAAGTACTCTCGTATGAATTTTCGGGTAAAACTCTGTGTTCTTGCTCAGGTTGCATCATATTATGGTTGGCCAGTATCCACTACACATTGTATTGTAGGATCTATGGTTGGTTTTGGTCTTGTTTACGGGGGACCCGGTGCAGTCTTTTGGAGTTCATTGGCAAGGGTAACTTCCTCATGGGTGATCTCACCTTTACTGGGAGCAGCAATGTCCTTTCTCGTGTACAAATGCATCCGGAGGGTATGTTCTTCTGATGTGCATACTCCTCAAGCTTTAGTGACCAAGACTTTTTCTATTGCAACTTACAATTCCTAATCCTGGTTCTTTTACTATTTTTAGTTTGTGTACAGTGCTCGGAACCCAGGACAAGCGGCTGCAGCAGCTGCACCTATTGCTGTCTTTCTTGGTGTCACCGGAATTTCTTTTGTAGCTCTCCCTCTGAGCAAGACTTTAACTCTAGCAATTGGCCAGGCTATAACCTGTGGCGCTGTTGGTGCTTTTGTAGTTGACAGGATCATTCGGGGCCAACTCGGTCACCTCCTTGCCAAGTCCAGTTCAAAAGAACCAGAACCAGAACCAGAAACTACCGACTCCAAAAACATTGGATTTCTTTCAGATATTGCAGGACCTAAAGGAACACAACTGAAAATAGTTTATGGTGTGTTTGGCTACATGCAAGTGTTATCAGCCTGCTTCATGTCATTTGCTCATGGTGGAAATGATGTCTCCAATGCAATAGGACCATTGGCTGCAGCATTGTCCATTCTACAGGGTGGACTCAGCGGAGCCGACATTGTAATTCCAAATGATGTTCTAGCATGGGGAGGCTTTGGAATTGTGGCAGGGCTAACAATGTGGGGATACAGAGTGATTGCAACTATTGGAAAGAAGATTACAGAATTAACACCCACCAGAGGATTTGCAGCTGAATTTGCAGCCGCGTCTGTGGTTTTGTGTGCGTCCAAGCTGGGGCTACCAATCTCAGGTACGCATACCCTGGTGGGAGCAGTCATGGGTGTCGGTTTTGCCCGAGGACTTAACAGTGTAAGAGCAGAGACAGTGAAAGAGATTGTGACTTCCTGGTTAGTAACAATTCCAGCGGGTGCTACCTTTGCTGTTATCTACACATGGATATTCACTAAGCTCTTATCATACATACTCTGAGTGTAAATTAACAGACAACGCCACCACTCAAACTTCTTGGATTAATTATAAAATCACACAGATAACCTTTCTGTCGTGATTTGAGAAATGCAATTTTTGAACCTTGAGGAGGATCCATGATCAAGAGTAGTAGTCCATTCAGTTTAGAAGACAAACAAGCTTTGGTTTCTGCCTAGCACTTTTGTGTTGGATTTAAGCAAATGTGATTTTGTTTCTTTGTATTTTACTTCCATATCAGGTTGTTGATCTTAGACATTAAAGTTTGAAACTGTTCTTCACATGCCTGGGACCAGTAGGTCAACATCTCAGTGCCCAATTAACAAGAAATTACAGTTAAGATCTTGTAGACTGAAGGCACAGGTAGTAAGGACCATTTACTATGAGCAAAGAGAAAGATGGTCTGAGGTAAAGGATAAAAGGAAGCAGTTGACAGGGAACACAAGAAAATGAGGAGGCAAAGTAATGTCTGAAAGAGAGTGTGTGTGTGTCTGTGTTCTTTATCCAAACAAAAGAGATCAGTCTAACTTCGACAAAATGGTTAGGATCTAATGCAGTCCAAAATTTGATCACACTTTGCGCATGCATAATGTAAACCGGAAATATTGTTCCATAACTGTGGAAGATAAAGATCTGTTTATTTCTTCTAAAATCAGAGCTGTGTATGTTTTATGTGGTATACAACTACATAGCGCAATGTTACATGGTACAAAGGTTTCTCCTTCCTTGTCTGTCCAGCTGCTTTCCTTGTAACTAACACAAATAATGACATCCAAATCTCCAAAAAAAAAAAAAAAAGAAAAAAGAGAAATTGAGAGAGAGCAATGGGAAAAGAACACAATCTTGCAAAACTGACCATTATCTCTCCTTAGCTAAAGATAGAGCTTTGCAGTTAAACTTCATGAAAAAATTGACATACCGGGAAAAGATACTCATGGAGAAATCTCCTCTATTGAATATAGATTAGGTTCCCATCTTGAATCCTTCCACGTTTTTGTTGTTGGGATAGGAGGTACAAATTTCTCCTGCTGCCTTTTCTTCCATAACCAACCGGACCATCTCTCTTTGGAGGCATAGAAGTCCTTTGCATAAGATATAGAGTCCTCTAAACAATCTCCGCTTACATCCACAACTTCTTCGCGGTCCAACTTAGGCTCCTCGCTTTCAGCGCAATGTTTTGCTTTAAGAGCGTAGTGTTTGCGCTGCAGTTTCTCTACAGTAGTAGAGGGGATTAAAAGGTATTTTGCCCCTGGCAAGAGAATATCATCTGCAGTGAGAAGGGATTCATGGGGACGATCAAAAAAATCCGGCAAAGCAACATGCCTTCCTGGATAGTTCTTTAATAACTGAGCTGCAGAAATGGCAGATTCGTACATATCTACCTTCCCACCGGGATGAACTATCCGCACTGTGATATCCTTAAGTTGTGAACTCAGGCTAAATGAATCAGTTTCCTTCAACTTTTTCCTTTTTCCAAATTCTCTGTCTCTATTCTGGCCTAGTCCTGACTTGTTACCACAAAGCTTCAGCATTTCCAGCAACTAGAAGCCCGCCACAACAACTACAAGCATCATAATAGTTGTACAGTTGTGGTCAAGATATCCCTATAAACAAGGATTCGAGAGCATGATAAACATATTTTGTGTTCTCTAGGCCAGCCTTTATGAACTAAACATCATCTCAAATGAACCAAGTGATAACTCCAAAGGCCAAATAGAAAACTATATCCTCCAACAATAATATCTCTTTGGATTCTCCTCAACCGGCAAAACCAAAGTTTTCCATGATACAAGAAGCAGCAAAAAGCATCCAAGTTTTGTTGTTTCAAAAATACACAACTTTTGTCTTGTGCCACGTTTGAAAACACATTCTTGTGCTCATATCGTATTCCCAGAGCCCTGATGGCACTTGACGTTCTAGCTTTTTCCTTCTCCCACTAATCCAGTTGTTATGAATAATAAAACAGCCCTTCATCAAACAGGCTTCCTTCACATTGCTTTCTTGCCAAAGATCTTTGTATGCGCCATTCGGAAAGAGGTCTCTGTCCAAGAATTGAACGGTCAGGTTCGTTTGAGGTTCTAAGCATCTGCTATCATCTATGCGATTGTATCCACCTTCCCCGCACAAAGTATCATAGAAGCTTGGTTGCTCAGAAAGATTTGAGTTTGCTGCATGCTTCACAACCTTCTCAAGAGCAGCAATAGTCGTAACATCCGAATGAGCATAATAGAAACCAGAATTCAGACGTCGAGGTAAGTTTATAGGTCCTGTAATTGAGCCATAAATATTTGTGCACAAATAAAGAGACAAATTAGCTTAATCAAGGGTGGTAACAGTTTATCTTCCAACAGCACAAGCATGTGATAAGTAGATATCTTCCTCCTGAATATGAATCCCACTACTTAACTAGTTGTTCTTTGCACTCAAAATTTCAGCTTTCAACAAAAAAGATAATGTCGTTAAAAGGGAAATACATAAATACCTGTCAACTTGTATTCATCTGATTGTGCCACAAGAACTGCCGGGCCAAATGAGCTAAGCAAGGGAAGTGGATTCTTGAACCAATAAATGTCAACATCGCTCATTAATACATTGTAACCAAGCTTCAGTATCTGCAAAACGGTTCTGGACTTAACTTTGGTTACTTTTTGAAAGCATTCAGTTCCAAAATGACAGTTGTCGAAGCTGATCTTGGTTTCAAGATTGGCATACTTGAAGACGGGAAGGCCCTAGCAACACAAGTTCATCTTAGTCTTTTAGTAAGATGGTAAACAGAAAAGAGGGAGATGAAATCTTAACATTCTACCATGGTGTAGGACATATATTTTTCCACGGAAATTGAGGTAGTCATGATAAATGAGCAAGCTATTACTGAGCTGCACTAATGGATTTTCAACCTAACAATCACGTTTAGTGTGGAGAATATCAGCTGAAAAACAAAATAGGTTACCTGCAAGATGGAGAAATCATATATATCATCATCAAGAGCACAGACCAAAAAGTTAGAGATCTGGAGATGGTTCAGCCTGCAGACCCAACTCATTAGCATGTCCTTGTAACTATACCCAACAACTGCTAGCACAACTGTCTTATTTTTGTCTGCACGAAGTGACAGTAATATATCTAAAGATAAAGGAAGTGAAATTGGCGTCGACACATTCCAGTAGTCCTCCACAGAGCAGTCATTAGCTCCCTCAGTTGATCTGATAGTATCAACGCATTCCAAAGTTTTCTTCTCTCTTGTTGACTTGGACATAACTTGTTTCCTTAAACTCAATGATCCTTTGTACTTCAAAGGGTAAACAACCATTTGTGCGGAATTTATGAGGAGATAGTGTCCTCCACACTGAAAAAGTCTAAATATGTTAGAGAAGTTCTGCTCATGGAAATACAATGATCCATAAAGCATTGCTAAATTGGAGTTCCCTGTCAATTCCCAAAACCTTTTTCCTGTAGTCAGGCCAAGAAAATCTTCACTTGTGCGATTGAAATCCTGGTCAAGATCATTAAGGTACAAATTGGAAATGGACCAATTAGCATCAAAGACAAATCTGAAATCAGAGAGCAGAGCTTCATTTATAAGCCAGCGGTTATGAAGCCCCTTTCCATATAGAAACGGGGGGAGGACTCCTTTATGCAACGGAAGATCTCCATTGTTCCAAGCTATTAGCATTTTTCCGTCACAAAGGTTCCATTTCCAATCTTGTGAAAGAAAATCCTGCAACTAGAGAACGGCGTACTCAAATTAAGAAGTTTTCCCATGACTTATCCTGTCCGAATCATTTCTAAGGTTCATTTTAGCCATACCTTTCGTGTCTTCACTCGGCTTCCATCATCTTGAAGCCAATGTTTCCCATCTGCATCCAAGTGAAATGGGAAGTGGGAAACATTTTTTGAAGAAGAAAACAGGAGCCAATCATGATCAAGTTTATGAGCATGTTTCATAGTTTGAATGAAGTCTGGCAAGAGAATAGTGTCTGGATCAATCACAACAGAAACGTCTGAAGAGGATGCTTTTGACCTTGCAACCATGGAATGAAAAAATGGTGTGCCTAGGAACCTAAAAGACAAAGGACAAAGATATAAGAGTAACAATTTAAACTTTCCTGATCAATTGAAGCCTAAAACTTAAAAGGACTAATGTAAGTTAACATTCAACCCCATAACAAATCATTTTTCAGCAAAGTGATTATCTTATGGATCCTCTTTTAAAGCTCTTCCATTAAGGTTCTCTTAAGTTACCGTTTAGATGCATTTGTTTTATCCATAAACAATGTGTAAGCTTAATTCTGATATTAAGGTCTAAAATACCAACTTGTACAGTGGCTATATTCCATTTCTCAGTGAATGTCTAATGCTTGTGTTAACTATGAACATGTCCGGCCACTCTTGTTTTCCTCCTCCCTTCAGTCCAATTAGAGATATAAATGTCATATCAAAATCAAGCTCGTTTAGAAATTGCTACTTTTAGCATCAAGAAATTCAAGTGTCAGCCTATACCAGAGATTTTATGCAGCCGAATACTGCATACAGTATACATCCACTCTTCTTACCGCTTACTAGCCAGACACACTTCGTACAAGGGGTACGCCATTTTCATGCAGGATTGACTGATCAATAGTCTTTACAACTGTAAATTTGATAAACCAGAAAAAAGGTACGATCACAGAACTTATCCATTGTGATAATAAAGTTAAAAAAAACTAATGTTTTGTGACTTTACCGTTATAGAGGTAAAGTTCATTTAGGAATACGAAAAAGACCAATACTAGTTGCAAAGATGAGACTAACTAAGAAATAAAAGTAAGATTTTCCTACGTGAAATCGACGTTTGGCTCAACTGAGACGCGGGGACTAAATAATTCAGCAAAGGAGAAAACAGAAGGTTGTTGGCTGAACAGAACAACACTAATGTCTGGTGATAAGCCAAGCCAAGATCGAATAGCAAGAGCTTGCCTTTCCCCAATGGAACCCACAAAAGGCCTTGGCGCTGTAAATATGGTAATAGTTGGGCCATCCAAAAGTATCTGACCTTTAAAAGAAGATGGCAATGGCATAAGTTGAGTAGCATAAAAGGAGACACCAATTAAGATAAACCCCCATAGCCAAATCAACAACAACCCAAGTTGCTTTGCCTGTAAATTCACCAAAAGAGAAAGAAAAATTCAATATTGGCTGAGAATAAAGAACACCATAGCATATTAAATGCATAAAGTTAAAAGCTTTATTGAAGTGGAAAAATAATCTATTTTGATTGATGCTAAAGAACATTATAGCATTATTAAATGTATTATTAAGTTGAAAACATTGTTGAAGTGGAAAAAGTAATCAATAATTTTA